CCAGGGTCTCCAGCCTGGTGTCACCTTCCTGGTCTCCTGGGCAGAAGTGGGTTGTGACCATAGCCTGCAGGGCAAGTTTGTGGAGCTTAGACTTTCCAACCATGCCACCTGGGAGGTGGCTGAGATCTGTGCCCTCGGCCAGAGCAAAGGCTGGATCCTGCCAGATGAGGGCCAGGGTTGCAGGGGCCTTGGTCACCAGGGCTCCTGCTGATCCGGGGTTCTCTTTGCCCCTCTCACTGTCATCTATGTCCTCTTCATAGCAGCCACTCTCCTGATCAAAGCCTGTCAGTGGTTCCCAGGTGCCCTCAGAGTGATGCCAAGCTCCTCAGCTTGGCACCAGGCACCTGCTCGCTTCCTTCCCTGTCCCATTCTGTACTTCAGCCTGGGACACCCCTGCTCCCTTCTCCCTGGGAGAAGATCTCAGGTCTCACTCAGATGGCTCTTCCTCTAGAAGCCTATTCTGACAGCCCCAGAGGAACCTGAGATCGCTCTTTTTTTTTTTTTTAATTTTATTTTGTCGATATACAATGTGGTTGACTATTGTGGCCCATTACCGAAACCTCCCTCCCTCCTCCCACCCAACAATGTCTTTTCTGTTTGCTTGTCGTATCAACTTCAAGGAATTGTAGTTGTTATGTCTTCTTCCCCGCCCCCCCGGTTTTGTGTGTGTGTGTGTGTGTGAATTTATTTATTTATTTTTAGCTCCCACCAGTAAGGGAACCTGAGATCTCAAGTGCTCCTTTACCTCCTCCTCATTCAATCAGCAAATATGTACAATGACTTGGTGCTGCGCTCTGGTCACAGGACTTACTAGTGTATTATGATTGGCTCTTTACTTGATTATGCCTGCTTACACCCTACCTTACTATACAATCTTTGAAGGCAGGACCTTGTCCTTTTGGCTCATGGATCTAAATCCGACATGCAGCCATAGTTGGTGCTCATAAGTGCTGGCTGAATGAATGAATTTTCCTTGGGCATAAACCTTCTCCACCACCATCACCACCACCAAGTATATATATGTCCTTAACAAGGTCCTAGGATTGTTAAGGTCTGGACTGAGAGGTCTACAAGGGTAAATTTGGGGTTCAGTCCCTTGACATGTCCACCCTCTTCATCATGCACCCTCCCTGCAGGGCATGTACAACACCACCACCCAGCAGGTGGTAACAGAGTTCTTCCCCTGCCTAAGGCACTTTAGATTGAGGTTCCATGCCTACCACCCTTTGGCAGGTGAGGGCTGCTGTGGGAACAGGCTTCTCCCGGAATGGGAGGGCATCCTGACCCCATCTCTGCCTATTCTTGACCTGGTTGACCTGGTAGATGCCTAACCCAGCACTGGTTAACAGGGAGGGGTTTGACAAGAGGCTGGTCTGTGTCCTCTTGGGTCCCTCCCTGTCCCCCAGTCCAGAGCCTTGAGGGACATGGCCTGCTCTGGAACATCCTGGGCCAGTGGGTCTGACTTCAGCCTACCTGCAGGGGGCTTCCTGACCGGCAGGCACAAGGATGGGAAACAACCTGTGGGCTGCTTCTTTGAGACTAAATAGCCGGTCTACAGGAATTGATGACTTGGGGTGGCCTGAGTCAGGGTGGCTAGTGGCGTGGGTCTCCTTAGCTTGAGTTAGGAAATCCCTGTGGTTTCCATCCTGGGAGTCAGCACCTTCCCCTCTTGCTCAGACTAGGTTCCTGGATTGCCATGGGTTACTGAGCCTTGTCCTGTCCTTGGAGCCCTCGTGATTCTCTGGGGAGACTGTGGGACCTGGGGTGTGGATTTCTGGCCTTCCGCCAGGTCTGCACCAGTGTCTCTTCCTTGACTTTACCCCCCAACCCACAGTGGAGGAGGGACCTTGGATTGGGACTTGTGAAACCTGGGACTTGGTGCCGCCCACTACTAGCTGGCCCTGTCACTTTGGGCAAACTGAGTTTAAGTTTTGTGAACCCTTAGCAGTAAAATTGTCATCAATGTCTCAAGTCATAATTAAGCAGCTGTTGGGGATAGCCTTCTTGCCTTCCTGTTTTTACTTTTCAAATTTTGAAAAAGCTATTAAAAGTCATACATGTGAGGGCCGGCCCGTGGCTCACTCGGGAGAGTGCGGTGCTGATAACACCAAGGCCCCGGGTTCGGATCCCATATAGGGATGGCCGGTTCGCTCACTGGCTGAGCGTGGTGCTGACAACACCAAGTCAAGGGTTAAGATCCCCTTACCGGTCATCTTTTAAAAAAAAAAAAAAAAATGTCATACATGTGTATCATTAAAGGCAACATCTTTCCAAATCCCATTCCTCAAAGGCACCTTTTAATAACTTAAAACTTTCCTTTCCTGTACCACTTACTGTGCTATCTCTAAAGTACATACTTTATTGGTATTTCTTATCAAACTTAGACGTCAACTGTGGACTGCTGGAGAGCTCCTAATCTTTCTAGATTTACAGAAGCCCAGTCTGCAAGGTTAATTTCTATGTACAATATGATTTGCTTTTCTCTTCCTCCCCTGGGGAGGAGGGTAAAAGCGAGCCAAGCTTGGTGCGAGAAGCTCCAATACTAGTGTCATTGACATGGCCAAGGACGTAAGCGGCAGTGTCGTTTGGTTTCACCTTGTGTGCACTGCTATGATTTAAATCTGTATCTGACAACCCTCCTCACCTCCAAGTGTTTCTGATAATCCTGGCCAGGTTTAGAAGCCATTGCCTTAAGTAGTGGTTCTCAGGTTGCTTTTTACACTGTCAGGGCCCAGCCTTCAGCCCTGGAGAATCAATGATTTTCAGTTTACAAGGCATGAGCAGGTCCCTTATCTCACTTACATTCACTGTCTGGGGCTGGCCAGGAGTGTTTCTGAAATAAAAACGGCCGGGACCCGGACTGACAGTTCACCAGAGAAGTTCCATTTTATTGAAAGCTGCGGGTACATTTATGGGGAGCTGCGTTCTGGGATCAGGCAAAAGGTGAATGGGGCATTAGCTGATTGGGCAGGGCTGGGCGGGAGACAAATGTTGACCTGTGACTGGTTAAGATTTCACGCAGGCGGGCTTGTTGGCTGTGGAGAAGAACCCGGAAGGGCGCCATATTGCCAGGGAGTGCCCCCCCGCTTGAGTGCCTACGGTACCCCTGCAGTTTCCTTTCCTGAGTAGATAAGCAAGGGCAGGGAGGGGAGGTGGCTCAGCGAAGGCCACGGAGCCAGGACTGGAGCCCAGGACATGGATCCTTTCTGTGACCCAGGGCACACAGGTGTGGTGCTGTAGGTGATTAAGGGTCCACATTTGGGGGTTTGCGTTAACACCTGGTGAGCATGTTAAATGCAAGGATTCTTGCCCACCACATCCCCTTCCCCCACCCACCAAAAAAACAACACCCCAATGAGGGGCCCAGAAATCTGCATGCACTCTGATGCTCAAAATTGTATAACCTCCACTCGAGAAGACCCTGGTCCCTCAGGGCTGCTGGGGCTGGGGTGTGGGCTGCTACCCTGGAGTGACTCTGAGGGAGTGACCTCTGTGCCACTGTCCCCACCTGCCCAGCTTCTGGAAGGAGCACCACTGCAAGGCCATCGCCCTGGTGAAGGCCCTGCAGCGCCCCCAGCATGACTTCGGCCGCCCTTCACTGGATGTATTACTGCTCACAGCTGCAGGTAATGCAGCCGTCCCTGGATGCTCAGCCTCTGGTTTTAAATTGGGGGGTGGGAGAGTGAGATGGCTACACGATTATTTCGTTATTTCTGAGATTACTCTTTTTCTTCATCTGTAATTTCTCCATGGCCCAGTTCTTTTGGATGTAATCTTTTTTTTTTTTAAAGATGACTGGTAAGGGGATCTTAACTCTTGACTTGGTGTTGTCAGCACCACACTCAGCCTGTGAACTAACTGGCCATCCCTATATAGGATCCGAACCCGTGGCCTTGGTGTTATCAGCACCACACTCTCCTGAGTGAGCCACGGGCCGGCCCTAATCCTGTTCTTCTTAAGAGAAGTCATTAAGTGCCAAATTACAAACACTATTTCTCACAATGGCCCTGTCACACTCGATCGTCCCAACTTTGTGTGAGGGGACTGGTGCTATTTCACTTGTCTAACGTCCCAGATACACGTGGTAGGGAAGGAGCTTGGGTTTGACACTGAAATCTGCATTTTTTTTTTTAACCATTATCATCTATTCCATCCCTAGCTGCCGCCCCCCTCCCCCTCTCGCCCCTCTCTGTGTAGCTGGAGGCTTCCTCTCTCCCTGCTGTCCATTTTCCTAACCCCGTTCTCCAGCTTGGGCGTGACATGGTAGCGGCTGCCCTTCTGTGAGTCCCTCCCTGTAAGGTGCTGGGCCTGGAGCGAAGTGCTTCACATGTGCGATTCCCACAGGCACTCTGCAAAGTAATGAAAATTTGAGGCTTCAAGGTCAAGTAACCCAGGTTTCCCCAGCTGCAGAGACAGCTGAATGGCTCTGAACTCAGGTCTGCCTGCCAATGAGGCAGCACGGAGGTAGGGCTTTAGAGCCACACGACCACAACTGCTGGAGGCAATATAAATTCATTCTGGAATACTACAAGGCATAAATAACCAGATCCAAATCTTGGCAGGGGCAAGACTGGGATGCGGTGTGTGTGACTGGAGCCACAGTGCAGAAGTGTGCTTAAGTCTGGACGTTTCCCTGTGCAGCTTGCCCATAGGGACTCGGTCATCCTGGGCATGTCCAGCCTGGAACAGCTGGAGAACTTGGCAGTGACTGAGGAAGGGTACCTGGAGCTGGCCATTGTGGAGGTCTTTGACCAAGCCGGGCAACAGAATGTTCCAACTACTTTCTATAGGCCCAGACCTGACCCAAGGCCCAGAGAGCACCATCTGCCCCCTCTTTCATTCTCTCACCCTGGCCAGTTTTGGCCTCAGGGGCAGACTGCCTTCATGAGGAGTCCCCCAGCACTCTGCCCCCCGACCCGAATCCAACCTGACCTCTCAACAGTGAGGCTAGAGGTGGCCCTCACTCATATGCACGACAGAAAAAAAAGAGGGCCATACAATGCAAAGTAAGTTTTGTCTCATTCAGAAATGCTTTCCCTAACCAAATACAGACAGAACAATTTGGGCAAACACCTACCAGGAGAACCACCAAGAACAATAAGACCTCCCAGGATGCTGCAGAACACTTGAAACACTGGCTCTCAACTCTAGAAGTGGAAAGCTCTTACTTCAGCTAAGGCTGAAGCCTCCTGTATTCTTGGCATCCATCTGATTCTCAGCCCTGCTTTGGGTGTGTAGGAGTTGGGGGGCAGGAAGGGCAGCCAGGGCGCCTAATTTTCCTCAGCAAATCCCTATTCCAAGCAAGGGGCACCCAGGGCCAAAGAACAGGAGAAACCCAGCTCTGGAAATAGTTCTTGGCCATCCCCATAGCCGCAAAGCCAGGGTGGTCCTGCAGAAGTCAGTGCTGGCAGCTGGCTGACAATGAGAACACAGGCAATCCTGGGAATCCAAACAGAAGACAAACCCAAAGGCCCTTTTTCTAAGAAAAGTCCCCTTTGCTGTCTACAGGGAGATACCCTGCAGACAAAGCTTTATTCTTCATAGAAACAGTCAGTGCCTTTCGCCCTCCCTTGTCTCCACCGACAAGATAAACAGCTGCTCCGTGCGGTGAGGGGTGGCTGCTGTCCTGCGAGGTCCAGTTGAAATGCAGAAGGTGCAGGAAGGCTGTCAGTCATCGTCGTCATCCTCTGATTCTTCCGCCGACTCAGACGCGCTCTCTGGCAAGTCATCTCCCATCTGTTGGAACCTTCCCGACTGTGCATCCCACATGTATTTGATGGTCACCTTGAACTCAGCCATCTCATACCCAAAAAGCTTCTGCAAAAGACAAAGGGAACAAAGAGTCAAGAGGAATGAGCGTAATCAGAAGTGCAGAGAATGTTTTCAGCAGGCAAGAGGAAGGCCACGGTCCCTCCTGCACAGCCCCCGAGGAGCCGGACTCACCAGGACACGGGCCTGCTCTGGGGTCAGCACGTCGCCCTTCTTGCACACCTCGTAGTCAGACAACAGGGTCACCACACCTACAGAGTAAGGTAGCCCCAAGTGACTTCTGGCCTGCTGCCCAGAGCTGGGAAGAAGATGCAGTTGGCCATCCTCCCCACAGCTCCACTACCCACAGGGACAGTGGCCGCCTTCCTTAATGTCCCCTTAAGTGCTGTCTTCTGGCTGTGAGTGACTATCTACTTTTGCCCCATTTTTAGATGATGAGATGGAGGCTCGGAGAAATAACTTGTTCAGCCAGAAAGGGGAGAGCTTGGGCGGCCTGTGCTCTTAGGTTCTAGACTGGGACCTTTCAGCTCCAGGGACTGCCTGGTACCTCTCTTGAGGGCAGTGGGCAGGCCCAGCTGCCTCAGCTGTGGCTCCATGGAGTGGGGAAACTGCTCCAGGGGCCCTGGATCCAGGCTCACTGTCAAAGTTGCTTTGTTACCAGCTCGGGCGAAGTCCATTTCTGTATATTTGGTGAACCACCTTGGGAAAAAGAGGAGTGGTAGGAGGGGAGGCTCCTGAGGGTTCCCCCAATAAGCGCCCCATGGCCCGGGACCTTCCCTCCCCCACACATCTTGGCTGCTGGCCAGTGGCCTGGAGCAGCGCACTGGAGAGATGGAGGTGGCCCTGGTTACAGGCCACCAGGGATCAGTTCCAACTTGATGCCTCCACACTGGACAAAGTCTCTACAGTATTTCCTCCCCAGAACACTATCCGACCTTTCTCTTCCCATCCATTCCTCATGAACACTTACTCATTCACCTCTTCCTTAGCGCGGTTGGTGAAAAGGAGACCAACTTCACCCCTCAGCTTCTTGCTGACCTACAAATCAGAAGTGAGGTCAGGTGGGTCACATTAGAGCAGTGGTTCTCTACTGAGGCAATTTTGCCCACCAGGGGATATTTGGCAATGACATTTCCAGTTGGGGGGGGAGTGGTTGGGGGGAAGAGTGCTACTCCCTGGGTCTGGAGGTTAAGGGACAACCCCAGAATTTTTTTTTTTTTGTCCTTTTTGAGACCGGCCGCACCGCGCTCAGCCAGTGAGCACTGTGAGCGCACCGGTCATCCCTATATAGGATCCGAACCCGCGGCGGGAGCACTGCTGCGCTCCCAGCGCCGCACCCTCCCGAGTGCGCCAAGGGCTCGGCCCGCAACCCCAGAATTTTAAGCGAGGCAGGTCACATGGCTGGGGTGTGTGTCATGGGGGAGCAGCAGGAGAGAAGGCAGCTTTCCCTCAGCACCTGCCAGTGAGGGCCAGCAACTTACCTGGTGCAGGTTGTCTTTATACTCATCAGATGGGCTTCGACCCAAGGCTACCATCATCACTTTGTTTTTCCCAAAGAACATCCTATGAAGAAAAAGAAGGGTGTGTGAAGGAAGTGCCCTGCCCTTCCCTCCCCTCAGTAAAATGCAAACCAGCTCCAGTCCCCAGGAGCCCCCAGTGAGCCCAGACTGTGGTGTGCACTTCTCCATTTAGCCTGGCCATTTTCTGTCCCCAGCCCAGGGTCACTTTCATTATTTTTCCACCCACAGATTCCCAACACTGGCAACATTCTGTCTGCCAGCCCACTGTGAGCATTATGTAACAATCCCTCCCCTGTACAAATGTATGGAAGAGGCGTGTCTGAACCAGAGCTGGTGCAGCAAGAGACCAACCAACAGAGTCATTCACACCATCAGAATTCCAGCCTGAGGACAGTAATGCCACGTGGCTCCTGTGGCCTGTTCCTGGGTCACGGTTTGTATCCCAGCACACTTAGCAGAATTCTAAAAAAATGTAATGTTTCTAAGAGGCCCAGACTCCAGAGTAAGGCAACCACTTCTCAAACATCCCCTGGGCAACTACCAAGTCCTGCCCCTCAGGAGCTCAGTGCAAGACCAGCCTTAACAGTTAAAAAGAAGTGCTCTTCAGCCAACGGTGGCACTTTGTCCTTATTAAGGTGCCATCTGCATGACCCAGGTACCCAAAGAGTTGTGCCTGTGCTTTGTCTGAGAGCAGCGTGGTCCCTCCCCAGCTCAGAAGGTCCCCTCCCCACTCACCGGCTGTGCTTCCAGGCGTTCCGGATGTCCTTCAGCTTGCTGTTCCTCATGTTGGCCACAGAGAAGATGAAAACGTACTTGTATGTGTCCACACATTTCCGGAGCTATGAGACAATTTGTGAGGCTCTGGAGTTGAAGGGGCAGCACAGGTTGGGGAATACTCTAGCCCCAGATGGGAAAGAATCTGCTGTAGGCCCCTTACAGCTGTGGAAGTTGTAAGAGCTGGAGGCCTCTAACCTGGTGTCTCCTCGTCTCTATTCCTGAAACCAGGATCACTAACCACAGGGGAAGCTGAGCCATGGATCTATATACCTCATGGTCTTTCCCAGGTTTCTGACCTATCTGTAAACAACAGCAGAACTGACCACTTCTCTTTGCTCTGTCCACTAACTGTCAACATAGAAACAACTACCCACACTAAAAGGCTCCCGCTAAACGGAAACATATGGAGCCTCATTATTACAAGGGGAAGCAGCTCGTCGGCACTTCTCTGCTTATGTTACTGGCAGAAACCACCGTGAGGAATACTTTGTGCAGGAGGACATCTGCTCTCATCCAGCCTACCATCCAGGGCTGGCAGGTCAGAAGCAGTACAGACAGTACAGTCACCCAAACCTGGTAGCTCCCTAGTTTTTTGACATTGGGCAGGCTAACAAACTGCTGTAAGCTTCAGTTACTCCAACTGCAAAACAGTGATAACGTCACATAGTATCTACCTCACAGGCATGTAATGAGGAAAGTGCAGTAACACATTTCAAATACTTGGTGCAGGGCAGGGCACGTAGTAAGAGCTCAATCCAAGCTGGAAATAGTCACTATGGGGGGCCGGCCTGTGGCTCACTCGGGAGAGTGCGGTGCTGATAACACCAAGGCCACGGGTTCGGATCCCATATAGGGATGGCCGGTTTGCTCACTGGGTGAGCGTGGTGCTGACAACACCAAGCCAAGGGTTAAGATCCCCTTACCGGTCATCTTTAAAATAAATAAATAAATAAATAAATAA